ATAAACACACACACACACACACACACACACACACACATTTAATTATAGTTGACATTCAATATTATTCTACTGCAGCTTGAGGTGTACAGCACAGTGGTCAGGCATCTACACAATCTATGAAGTGATCCCCCTGACAAGTCCAGTACCCATCTGGCACCCTACATAATCTTTACAACATTACTGATTATAATGAGTTGACCTATATATAATTGCGAATAGATTACCACAATAAGTTTAGTTACCATTCGTCTTCTCATGTAGATACAAATGAAAAAGAGAAAAAACATTTTTTTTCCTTGTGATGAGAACCCTTAAGATCTACTCTTAACAACCTTCGTATGTATCATACAGCAGTGTCGGGATTCTGATCAAGTGAGACTGTTTTAGTTCGAGACCTCCAAATGTCAGTTCTTGTAACAAGCTTTCTATTGGGCTAGTCAGATTCTTTGAGGAACATTCTCCAACCCCCTACCTAGAAGCTATGTACCTGACTAACACCACTCTGGACCTAAGTGGAAGAAAAGAGCTAGAGGTTTCATTCTAATGTATACTGTAACGTAACCACTGTTTCCAAAATAGTACTTACACCCTCCACCATGTTCTGAGCATAAAGTACCTAGGTCAACAACTGCAGAGTAAATCTTTGTTTCCCAGCAGAGTAGAAGAGGGGCGTATGCTCATCTGCACAAGTTGAGGAAGGGCGTATGGGGATTTCACAGCTCATTGTTCTAATCAAACTTTCTGTCTTCAGGCCCACAGGCACCCCAGTTTTCAGAATACTTAACAACTCAATTTTTAAAAAGCACATGAGAGACAAGCAACTCCAATTCAACTCCTAAAGAAAGAGAGTACTGTAAGCTTGCCCAAGACTGAAATAGTGGGATTTGATGAACTAGGCCACGTAGTTACGGCTCAAATCACACAGCTACATAAATGAGCAGGGCTCAAAACTCAAAAGCATTTACTTGGCTACAGATTTTGTGCATTTTACTAAGTACCTTTCTATTTAGATAATACTTGCACACGGTTAAAACCTGAACATCTCAGCTTAGTAACCATGCTAAAGATCAGGGAGCTATCTTCTGAATGTTCTCCAAGCCATGTTGTTTTCATAATACAATGCCCTGAAAACTAGGATCAAAGGTAAAACATTAATTTACTTGGTTATTTCAATCTAAAGAAAGGGAAACAGAATTCTTCAACTGTTCTCAACTAAGAATAGGAGGAAAATAGATGAAATGTAATAGATTTAGGTAAGACCTAGGAAAAAGATCATCAACATTTAAGTAATGCAACTGATATGTAATGAAGATCCGATAACACAATGACATTATGAATATAAATTAAGTAAGACTGAGTTTCTGCCCTCAAGGAATAACAATAGGATGTGATAAATATTGAGACATATAGTATAAAGAGTGCTATGCGAGCTCAAAAAATGAAAAGCACAGGTTGCTTCAAACAGTTAAATGTTTAAAAAATATATTATTATAACACTATATAAAATTAACTGAAGAATTCATAAAACCTTTTGTAGTCTTTTTAAATGGGTAGTTTCCTAATATAGGTGGTCATGACTTTTACCTAATAAAAACAATATACTAATTGCTTATCAATGCTATGTAATATTTATCAAAACAACTGTAAGGTATAAATATTTTTGTCACCATGTCATATATACAAGAAAACAGAGTCTGCAGAGGTTAGGTTCCTTAAAGTCACTGAATGGCAAAGTCTGTATTCAAAACCAGATCTTATTAATTACTACACTATGCTGCCTACCACACCATCAAAATATTCTCCTTGATATAAACATTAACTTCAGGAAAATAAAAAAAAATAGTATTTAAAGTATACAAGTCTCTGCAGAAGACAAACATTACAGCACAGTAATAAAAATTTAATTACACATACAGCAATTAATTCGGATGAATAATAATACAATTCTACTTCTAGAAGTTCTTTGCCTTTTAACCTATGTGGCAGTAGGAGGTGAAGGCTTTATTACTCTCTCCAAGACATTACCTTCGGTTCGACAAAAAGTTTAAAAATAATTATGTACAATGTTGTGGCAGACATTGTTGTTGTTCAACAAATATTCCAATTCTCTTCAGGCTCATGGTAAAATTATACTCCAATGCTCACTAGAAGTTGGAGGTGACAATATGACTTGTTTCCATCAATGCAATGTCAGCAATAGTGACACTTCCATTTCTGGATGGAACCATTCAGTTACCAATGAAGGAAAAGGCAATTTCAGCCTGCATTCCTAATTGATGAAAATGAGCAAATCTGCCGTCCCAACCAACACGAGACATGAAAAGTAAACTTTATTACCCTTGATCCTCTGAAGTTTGGAGATTTGTGGTAGACATGGATATGTGCTGCCAAGGTATAGGAATTACTGTCTGTGATGCTGGGAGTGAACAGTCATCAGCTGCAAGCTACATCAGGAATTGCCTCAGTTAATAGAGGGTCACTTCACTCAAGGCCACACCTTTCCAAGGATGGCCACATGCAATGGCTGACCAACGTGGGGTTCTAAAGCCCCTGCCATTTCAGCCCAACATAGGGCCATTCTGACCAACAATTTTATCTCCAGAGATCCTTGTCGGGTTGACTAAGGTTATCTGACCAGCATTACAATTCCCTTTTCCCTTTTCCAATCCTGCTTCCTGCCCCCACCTCTCCCAAAGGCATTATCATAAATGTACTCCAACAAACAACGTAAATACTAAACTCTATCTCAGGATCTGCTTCCCTGAGGACCCAAACCATAACAGCTGGTGCCAGCAGTGGGACAAGAAAGCAAGAAACAAGATGAAGTTTGGGAACTGAACCACACACTGCCAGGCCAACAATGAAGAACCCTCATTGGCGGTGGGTGGAGCACAGAGAACCCCTGGCTCGAGGTGACCGTCAAATGTTAAGACTTAGGGAACACTCTAGCAGATGGGAAGCAGCAGATGTTTGAACAGTACGGGAGAAGTGGTAACTGCTAATGCAGCGGAACTGCATGTCTACAGCTTAGCCCCACTGAGCTCTAGAAAAAGATAATGAAATACTGAGAAAGCTAGAGGCCACCTCAGTGCCACATACAGAGGCTGCCAATCATACACAGGTCTGCAAATTAAAGAAGATATGCTATTCCAGAGTCACTGCTCTGACAGGAGGAGAATGAGACCTTGACAGATACAATGGGGACACCTGAGTTGTTGCCCCTGAAAAATCTCCCCCAATTTTGAGCTCCCACATTTTCACGGGTCATCTGAGCATGGAGAAATGGGCCTCCCTACTGAGAGGCCGTGCTCAGCTTTGCTGGAACACAGTGGCTCCTCTGCAGGAAGATTCTGCCCTAGCTCAGAATCCGC